AAGGCTTATATATCCCATTAGGCACATTTGAGAGAGAGATCTATATTCTAGTTCTTAGAGAAAACACGTGTGTGTGTGTATGTGTGTGTGTGTGTGTGTGTATATGTGTGTGTGTCCTAGTTTTTAGAGAAAACAATCTAATCTTGTTACTTTCTCAGTTTACCATTCCATCACAATTTCAGACTTTTACATTTTTATCCTGTTCACCTTTTTTTCTTTTTTGATGATGTCTGTCACCTAGACTTGTAACCCCCCGTCGTTCCTCACAACCAGCCAGACTTCATTACCTAGTTTCACTAAGACTAGTGGTAAATTGTGATCCTGCTGATTCAGGTAAAACAAAGGTCCCCAGCTGAAGCACGTTGGATCATGGGCTAGGATGACGCAGCCCAACTGAGAAACACAACTGTAAGAAGCCTCCAGCTCCCTGGGGTGGGGTGGTCCGGGCCCTCCACCTCCTTTATCCTCACACTTAAAGGGCTCGTTAACAGCTCTGGACTGGGAGTGTCATGCCTCTTATTGACTAGAAACTCCTGCTGGTGGCCTGAGAAAACCCACTGCTCGATACCTCAGTTTACCTCTCTGTAAAAATCTGCCCGAGCCTGCGTCAGTGGATTTGGCAACGCAGCTTAAAGGACGAGTGCTTGGCATCACTGGCATGTGAAAAGCTGCTAAAGCAAAAGGCATCTGAGCCTCCATCTGTCAGTTTCTTTCTTAAGCTCTTCTTAAAATAAAACGAAGGTGTTAAGTTGGGGGGAAAAGAGCACCCCTCTTCTGCATGATGAGCATCTAAGTAAACGAGTGAAGTAGCAAAGTGCTCTTTTGAATACAGATCGATTTTATTTTCAAATGGATTGAAATGATGCCCCCAACAAACCCCTGAAGGCAAGGTAATGGTGATGATGATGCTGCTGATGATAACCCATAATAACATTAATAGCATTCACATAGATCTTTAATTTTACATATATTATCTTATTTGATCCTCACATACCTGGGAGGTATGTTATTATCCCCATTTTACAGATGTGGAAACTGATAACGAGGTTTAGTGCCTTGCTCAGAATTGCACAGCTGCTAAGTGTCTGAAGTGGGATTTGAACTCAGGTCTTCTGACTCCAGGCCTGCACTGTACCACCTAGCCTGGTAAAAGGGAAAGCACTGAAAGGGCCTAGTGTGACTGAAGCTAGAGATTGTTATTAAGTTCATTTAAGGTTAGGTTGAATCTAATTTTTGGTACTTTTTGTTTCTTTTTTTTTTTCCTTGCATCGGGGTGGAGGGAAAGGGGGGGGGCATGGAATGACTTCAGATCCGTGCTTTCTGCCAGGGCTTCAGGTCAAACAATCCTACAGCAAACTCTTGCAACATGTTCTGGTAGAAAGTAAATTCTGGGGACTTGGACAGAGTATCGGGTTATGTTTATTACTTTTGAGAAATTGGAGACTTAGCGTGTTTTCCAAATCAGACCTTAATGACAGAATTGAACGAATATAAAGAATGAGGAATGCAGGGAAAAGGCAATTGTATGTTATTGACTTATCTGATGAGCTTTCTGGCAGTAACCCGGGAATCTCTTAACACATTTAGAGGCTTATTTTCCAGCAGGATGGTTGAGATTTTAGTGTGTGTTTCCTTTGAGGTTCATTTGGAATTTACATAATGATCTTAATCTTTCAGTTGGAAATCATTTGGCCCCTTTTAAGCCCTCTCCCCCCCCCACCCCAGTTTGCTAAGCACTGATGTTTCTTTGGTTCGGGGATGAGGAGTCCCAGCTAAACCCCGTCACCACCTGATTGGAGAATGAAGTGCCTCATTTCTAAATGGGCAGAGATAGCAGCAGCTGGACTGCTTTGTAAACAGCAGAAAGGAGACAACCCGAGTGGATGTGTTAAGTGTAAAAGTTCAGGTTCAGGCACTAGCCGTGGTCAACGTTTCCTTGTTATGAGCGTAACTCAGACTTACAGAAATTAAAATTGGCAGGTTTCAGAGTCTGAATTGGACAGCTCTTGGCCTAGACCACCTTGCTTCCTGAAATGAAATGAAAACAACTTTCACTGGATGGTGAGAGTCCTAGAGGAAAAGAAGTAGATTCTAAAGATCTTGTGCCTTCTAGCAAACTGACTTTCACTGGGCCCTCCCTGACACTGGACACTGGTTCTGGAATTCAAGCATCCTTGTGTGAGATGGGAGAATTGAATGGCTTCCAGAATCTTCGTCTGATTAGCCTTCCCTCCTCCGTAGATGTTCATAAGGAAAGGAGCGAGGCTGTTGCAAAGGAACCTCCGAGGCCATGAATTCCAACCCCCTCATTTTATAAATGAGGAAACTGAGATGCAGGGAGGGGAAGGAACTTTCCCAGGGTCACCCAGGTAGTCAGTGGTAGAAGGTGGACCCTGGTTCTCTAATTTCCGAACCAGAGCTCTTCCCACTCCACCAGGCTAGAGGCTAGGACCGATGTTGAACTGGGTGTGTTCCGGAGGAGAGCACGTCTTGCAGAAACCAGAATCCTAGATGACTTTAGAAGATTCAGAATCATTAAGATGCTAAGAAGGATGCATTCATAAAGTGGTTTTTTCAGTGCTTTGGGGATTTGCAGTCGCCACACTCGAGCCATTAAGTCTGTATCGTTCTCCCAGGAAATTAACAAAGCGAAGAGGGAAACACCACAGCTGAGTGATGCTGCATTATGGGTGTCTTGGAGAGGGCTTTTAGCTGATCCTCACATGGGATCAGTTTCTTTTCTACAGTAAAGAATTTGGGTGTTCAACTGTTTGGACCAGGGGTGGGTGTGGCCTTTTGACTGAGTCCAAGTTTTATAGAACAGATTCTTTTATTGAGGAGACTTGTTCTGTGAAATTTGGATTCAGTCAAAGGGCCGCACTTGAGAACCTGGAGGGCCACATGTGGCCTTGAGGCCGAAGGTTCACCACCCCAGGACTTTGGACATTGATCATAAAGATAATTTTTCCTTTTAGCTTAGGGTCCTGCTCTGGTATCTGGCTCGATTCCCCAGTGATCATAAAATCCTACGTGGTACTAACTGAATTTCTTCATGGTTATTACTTTTGTTCTTAGTTACAAGACTGAATGATGTGAATTATTAGCTTTCCTAGAGATAAGCTAGAGATTAGAGATTTCCTAGAGATTAGCTAGTTACAAGACTGAATGATGTGAATTATTAGCTTTCCTAGAGATTAGCTAGAAATGTTGCTTCTAATTGGGGTTTTTTTCCCCCCAGATCCAGAGATTGAACATTGCATTGGTACGTGCATTGATAGCTCTTGTGTAATTAGTTGTGTTTAGAACACAGATGTTTTTCAAAGCGGCCTCTCAGATGTTAGATATTTGTGAGTTCTGGTGACTCGAGGTCCTTATGTAATCTCATTGTCTCCATGGGGGAACAACGCCTGGCGTACGCTAGATGGCAGCAGATAAAAGAGAATGAAGAAGTGTCTGCTCTGGTCACTGAACTCGGAGAAGACTGGCCTCCTTTCATTTCAGCTTCTTTCTCTCCCTGGAGTGAACTTGGGACTTATTCAAAGCTACTTGGCAGGAGGGAGCCTGGGTTTGCATTCACCTCCATGGAGTCGTGAAGGAACATATTTCCTCGATGGCAGAATCGTAGTGAGGCTGTCGTTGTACCCCTCATCTGTAGATCCAGTCACCCACAAGGTCAGGACTGGTCACGACCGGGTTATGATGAATGACAATGACAAGGTCCACGGGGCAAGAGTACCAGGGAGAGGGGAAATGCACCAACTCTTCTTCACTTGGGGCTGGATTTATAGAAATGCTCTCACGGGCTTATAGAATCATGGTTACAGTTACCTAGCAACTAAAGCATCTTTAAAATGAACCTATTTTTAATTCACTGTGCATTTATTAAGATTGTAATAAGTACATGGCAGATATTTTGATGGATCTGTGAACTCATCAGTGTGTAAGGACTCTAGCTCATCCATACACTCTTATCCTGTGTGACTGGTCCATATTCTCCCTCCCGTAAATTCTTCCCTAAGGGGCTGCCCAATGCTCTGGGAGCCTTCTGCATCTCTTGACATTTTGTGAACACCAGAGGAGCATGAAGGCTGTCCATCATTTTGTCCCCGGTTCACTACATGGCTAGTCCAGCACTGTGATGGAGACGGGAGGATTGAAATTGTTGACCTCTAAGGTCCATTCCACCCCTAGAGAAATGTATGACCCTGTGACCCCTAAATCCAATGCATTTTCCACCTTGCCTTTCATCATTTAATAGAGTTTTTATTAGAGGCCAATGATGTTGGTAACTTGTCCTCCTAAAAATGATCAGGTACTGCTCGGCACATGCAGCACCAAGATGAAAATGCCATCCATCTGGAGGCTAGTCCTTTCCTCAGAATCATTTTTATACTGAATAGGCAGGTGACAGGGACACTGAGTCCCCTTTAACCCCTCTCCTTTGACCTATCCATGTTTACTGTCCTCACAATACTTCCAGCTCAGCTCCTCAACTTCAACAGAGCACAAAAAACAGGGTCTTAATGACGACAATGAAAGGATAGGAAAGATGGCAAGGGACAGGAAAAAATGGAAAATGCTAACTAGGCTCCGCCTCTGGTCCTCCTACCCCCAACCCCCTGCCCTGGAAAGTTGTCTTAGGATCCCAGGTGTCCAACTGGAAGGGACCTTGGAGGCCCCTCATTCTACAGATGAGGAAACATGCCCGGAGAAGTGACTGGCCCAAGGTCACAAGGTCGTAAATGGTAGAGCCAGGATGTGGAATGTGGCCCCAAGCCTAATGCATGTGCCCTCGCCCCTCAGAAAATCAACAGTGCACAATTCAAAATGCTAGTGTTGATTTTTTTTTTTTTTGAGAAATAAATGCACATTCAAATACCCAAACCTGAAAATTTCTGACAAATTTTAATTTTTTCATGAGGTGAAAATGTGAATGTCATACATTTTAAATGTAATATCTTCTTCCAGACAACACTAATACTATACTTTTTTACATGCAGATTAATCCCAAGCTCGAAGTGGTAAATTTACAGTCTTCTGACCCTCTTGTTGTGGATATTCTTTCTTCCGAATCTTCGAATACAATGGTAAGTTTGCTCTGGAGTGTACATGAAAACCCTGATTTAAAAAGAATAAATGCGATTCCATTTTCTGAAGGCCAATGAAGGTGGGTCTCATCATCTCACAGCATTTTAGAAGAGGAGAAATTCTGTTATTAGGAAAGCTCATTTTCAGTGGCCACAAGAGGGAGGTATATTAGCTAAGTGTTGATACTGAAGGCCCAACTCTGTTAACCCAGAAGCTCTAATGTCTAGTCCTTGATCTCATCTTCGTTAGCCCTATTAAGGTACCACGGAGGAGGCTGACCGATAGTTGCCACCTAACAGATGGCACGCTGAGTGAGTCACCTCTCCAGGCTTCCAGCCTCACTCCTGGCCCACCCTTCATTCCACGGCCCCAGGTCTATGTAACGAGCTTTGTTACTTGCTGATCATACGCAAAAACCAAGCAACATTCCCCTTTCTTGCTATTTAACTCAGAAACCTTCAATAACAAGACCCCCAAATGTTCCACTTCCTCCTAGATGATAGTTTATTTGTTGGTTCTGTAAATCTCATGGTTTTTAGATCCATGTAATCCTCACAGGGCGAAAAAAACAAAGCAAAATAAAAAAAAAACAAAACCCTGCTTAGATCACTGAGGCTCCTAAGTCTTTGCTAATGCAAAACTGGCCCTGATTGATTGGTGTCAGCTTTGATCAGACACTTATAAGGTAATGCCTCTTAAAATATTGAATGTTCTCACTAAGTTATTAATTCATGTCAGCAACAGAAGTATAGATATTGTCCTATGAACAGTGACTGCTAAGTGACTCAATGAATAGAATGCCAAGCCTGGAGTCAGAAAGTCCTAAGCACAAACCCAGCCTCAGACACCTACTAGATGCATGCAGATCACTTAACCTTGGCCTCAATTTCCTCTGCCGTCAAATGGAGATAGTAATAGCACCTACCTCACAAGGTTGTTGTGAGGATCAGATGAGATAGTATTTGTACAGCGCTTAGCACAGTTCCCTGGCACATAATAGGTACTTAATAAATGTTTATTCCCTATAGTAATCATTTAGCCACTCGTTAAGACTTGTCAGCTGGGAGGAATGTAGTATGAAACAGGTCTGTTAGCCCAACGGGACTTAGGAAGTGGTGGTAAAAGGGAGCTTGGTTCACATGGTCCTAAAGGGATTCCATTGGAAGATGGTCTTGATGGCAGACTGGCTGCCCAGCTAGACCTCCATTAGAGGGTTATCTCTCAGGCAGGCAGTCATCTTTTTTTTTAAAAATTTTTAAATAATTAATGATTTATTTTTAGTTTTTAACATTCACTTCCATAAGATTTTGAGTTTTAAATTTTCTCCCTCTCCCTGCACTCCCCCCCTCCCCAAGACGGCATGCAATCTGATATAGGCTCAGCTTATACATTCATATTAAGCATATTGTCCCATTAGTCATAGTGTAAAGAAGAATTAGAACTGATAGGAGGAACCACAAGAATGAAGCAATAAAACAAAACAACGAAAAGGAGAGCAAATATTATGCTTCTATCTGCCTTCAGATTCCATAGTTCTTTCTCTGGATGTGGACAGCATTTTCCATCTCGAGTTTTTTAGAGTTGTCTTAGATCCTCGCATAGCTGAGAAGGGCTAAGTCTATCAAAGTCAGTCATCGCACAGTGCGGCTGTTACCGTGTACAACATTGTCCTGGTTCTGCTCACTTCACTCAGCATCGGTCCATATAAGTCTTTCCAGGTTTTTGTGAAATCCTCCTGCTCATCATTTCTTATAGCACAGTAGTATTCCATTACATTCATGTACCACAGCTTGTTTGGCCATTCCCCAATTGATGGGCATACCCTTCATTTCCATTTCTTTGAGGCAGGCAGTCATCTTAAAGACCACCTAGACGAAAAAGATGATTCCCAGAGTCCGGAATCTCAGGATGACAGGGGTGCTGAAGGTGGCCCCGTGGTCTGAGCTCACATGGCAGGAAGGTTAAGCATTGCACAGGTGTATGTTGTTAGCTCACACCGATAAAGAGAATTCTAGTTTATATTAATCGCTTTCCTTCCGCAGCCCTTTCGAGGAGGCAGTGCAGACATTTGTTGTTCTTGTTTGTCCTTGGTTCTCCAAGAGGACCATGACATCAGGGAGGTGATGCCGTGACTTGCAAGTGAGTTGGATTTAAGTGAGGGAGGGCTGTGCAAAGTCACCAGCCTCACTTTGTCCTCCAGAGCCATCTGGGTCCAGTGGTGAGATATAGATCAGGACGACTAGAGATGGCCTGGGCGGGCATTTGAAAGATGAAGAAACAGGGACTCGGTAGGAGACTTGTCCAGAGACACACAGTAAGTGTTAGAGTCAGTGCTGAAATTCTGTGACATCACAATAGTGCTCGTTTCTGGCATGAATTAGACTGGGAACTCCTTGGGGGCAGCTCCTTGCCTTTCTTTGTATCCCCAGCGCTTAGCACAGTGCTTGGTATATAATAGGTGCATAATCAATGTTTATTGACTGGCTGACTGAGTAATCTATGATATGTAAAAGAGAGGAGACATGTCATTAGCATCTCAGAACAATTCTGTGCTTACTAGTAATTCTAATGAGGTGTCTCTCCCCTACCCCCCATACTTTTTAGTGACAGATAGGTGCAGGTAGGAGACATAATCGGTGTCCCCCCCCCAATTAAAATGGTCTTTAGACATAAAAAACAAACAAACAAATGTAAGATTCCTCTGGTCTAGAGGATGCACAGAGACAGCCAAAGGCCCTTGGTCCAGAAGCTGAGATATGGTGCTTTGAGACAGGGCTTTTCAATAGTTAAATATAGTAGCGCTATAAAGAATTTAGATAGACTGAATAGGCCAAGGTGCAGATGTCCTTCATTGCCTACATGGGACAGAGATATGGGTTTGCTGGTGGCAACCAGGTGTCTCAGTTGTGTGTGCGTGTGAGAGAGAGAGAGAGAGAGAGAGAGAGAGAGAGAGAGAGAGAGAGAG